TAGAAACCGCTACGCAACAGCTAGATTGTTGGTTTGGGATCTATCAGCAATCACTGGTATTCAAATAATCAAACCTGTTGCTTACCGAAAGCTTCACAAGCACGATGTTTAGGCGAGGAAATCATTGCTTGACGTCTTTTTTAATCTTCCGTAACTATTTTGCCATATTGCTGTTGAACTGAAGTCGTCATTAATGTAGGTGTCAAAATGTGAATTAAGATGTGTAAAAATGCTCTGTTCTTAGTATTATATTTCATAATTTTTCTTACTATTAATTAAATTAAATTTAAATTTGTTAAAATTATTCAGTATGTTTTATTTCATTATTTTTCTTTTATTCAATAACCCTAACGGATGCCTATTAAGTTTCTGAAAATTTTTATTTCAGAAATTATGCTCTGGTCTTCGCATTAATACATCCGCTGTAAGAAACTTGATTTCTATCGCAAAAAGCTAAATTTACAAAGAGCTTCGTTTTAGTCAAGATGCAAATTTTCAGAGCAATAATATTCATTTTTCTAATTTTTAAAATCAGGCAGCTATTAAAATAATGCTACATACTACTACGAAATAATTAAAAAGCTAATTAACATTATTTATCCTTTTCAGTGACTCGCCAATTCGAAATGGGCCCTTACCTTCTCTAGAAGTCTTATGAGCTGAGCCAATCGTTCTTAAGACAATCTACTCATCTGGACTTTCGGTCTGCTTCTCACTCGGATACGACTGTTTTAGCTGAAAACATCTTCAGTCAACATTCAGCAAACAACAACATTGTCATTTTCGATTTGAAGTACATATCCAACTTATTAATCCAAACGGGCTTTGTTTTCGTTTTGCGATTTTGCGTGGATTCACTACAAACGGCGAATCATTTTTCAAACTGTTGCCACGAAGTATTATCGCCTTGTGTTATATTTAAAGAAATTTAATAATGAAAAATCTGCATAAATGTATGTATATTTCTCGCATTGTGATAAAATAACGGTACATAGAGCCATCGAATTTTGAATGACGTAATCCTCCTACGAATATGGGCATATGGAAGACCAAATTTGAAATTTGGAATTTGTTTTATTATCGATTTCCTATTTTGTAAAACTTTAATGAATTTTTGATTAACAAACTCAAGGATTTCAAAGCGTGCAATGGCAAAGTTGTGCAGAAAAAATATTTTTTATCTCCAGCGCGTGAGTCTCTGTATCGGAAATTCTAAAGATATGCTCATTTTAAAACAATTTTGCCATATTGCTGTTGAACTGAATTTTATGGTTGAAGTGCAAAGAACGTGATATTTAATAAATAAATGTAACACACAAAATGTTAGAAAAACGCCCCTTTGGACGTAATTTAAAATCTGAAATATTTCAGATTTTCTTTTTCTTTTTTTTAAATTTCTTTCTTTCTTTCTTTCTTTTTCTTTTTTTTTTTAATTTTTATTAATCTTTTTGTATGTTGTTGACTATAGGCTTGATAAAGTTCCGAATCTGGTCATTTCAGCCGTGTGTATTTATTTGTATTCCACGGAAAACAAGAGCAATATTTATAATTGTTTTTTGAATCCATGAAATTTTCATTATCTTGAGTCAGTATCCATGTTTCGAATGAATATAATAACAGTACGGATATTAGTAAACTATTAGTTTAGCTAGTAAGGTTGTAGCTGATTTAGAAACTGAATATAAGTCCTACTACACAACTGTATTAGACAAATTAAAGTCTCAAATACTCGTAGTATGAGAAAGACGTGCGAAGGTTTTAATAACCTCTTTACTTAGTCTTAACTTTATGCATAAAATGCACGACTTGTGCTGCAGACAACCACCTTTCATGGCGACGTAAATTAAACAGTAACAATCAAATAAATTTAAACATTGATAAAATAGTTTAAGATTACAACATATAATAAATTAAGCTGTAAGCTGGCTCAATTTTCTACCTGGGCGGAAGTTTAAAAGCTATCGCCTGTCACGAGAAGGCAGAAGCCCATATAACATTTTAAAATAGAACTGGCAAAATTCTAATAGCCCGGAAAAAACTCTTGCCAGAATCTCTCTCTCTCTCTCTGTGTCTAAGATTCAAAACCCTCACCTTATATATTCTAAAAGTTAATTTGCCTTTTGGTGGAGAATGCGGAAGGAAGAAGTTGTAGTACAAAATCATAATAACTGGTTAATTAACATAAGAATTTTACACGTTTTCTTTTAAGTTCGACCTTAAATATTTTCGCAAGTTAAAGTAACAATTCATTATGATGCTAATATTGATCTCAGAGTGAAACTATTAACTTAGAAATAAAATTATTAATTCGTTTGGATTCTTAAGAACCTATTTTAGATCTAGGTAACAGAAATTACTGTTTCAGGTACTTGTTGCCTAATATAGTTAATTTACATTAACTTAGCTTTATAATTTTTATTTTGGTTTCTGAATTACTAATAATTTTTTATATAATATCTACCTCGTGAAAAGCGCTGTTATAAAAATGTATTGTAATTTATAAATGTGTTCTGTAAAAGGAAATTAACGTGTTCAGAGAACAAAGCAAGTGCAGTGTTTATCATTCTCACTCAAATTCATTTAATATTTTAATTGCATTCACTCAATAATAGCGCTCTTTAGAAATTTTTTTCCCAAATTAAATTTAAATGAAATCTGGTAAAATAAATCTACGCAGTTTAATATAAACAAATGCACTGTTTCTGAGTTATTTCTTTCTTTTGCCGTAAATCAGGTATCTAATTCTATATCGGTGTATTTTTAAGTTAGTTTTTCTATCTATTTCAAGATGTTTTTTACTCTTTGAGGCATTTCCAGCTGGCCGATTTCATATCCTTCTATGGGAATATTTGATGCAAGCCAACGGGCGCCAACAAAGTGAAATAAACATATACCTACGATTTTAATCATTGAGTCATTAATTTTTCAAATAAGAGTACTGTCTTCATGTGGCATTAATTTACAATGAAATAACACCATAGAAAAATTTTTTGTTCACTAGGTTTTACCATTTTGAAGAGTTTAGTTTAAACATAAGATTACATGTTCTGTATCTTGAATTTCTGAGGGATTAATTTTTAAATTAACTCACAACTGCTTAATTTAAAACTGTATCACAGATATCACAACTGATAGGATTATCACAACTGCTTAATTTAAAACTGTTTCTGGTATACCACTGAAATCTGTATATAAAGGCCATATTACAATTATATTTTAATGTTACGATTCCTAGATTTTTTTTAGTTTTTACTTCCTTGTACGAAGTAAAGGAAGTATTGTAATCACGAAAAATTCTGGGTATCATATTTCAACGAAAATATTCCTTTTGACCGCTGTCAAATGCAAATTAAGGATGTTTTTGCATGACATCATCTGTACCTAAGGACAGAATAAAGGACACGTTTCCCCAAACGGAATTGTATCTATGTATCTCGCATAACGCAAAAACTAGTAGCCTCAGAACGTTGAAATTTTGTATATATGATTGCTATAACATGCAGTTGTGCGCCTCTTATGTTGGTTGGAATCGGCCGCACCAAAAGTATATATATATACCCACTCTGTTACTCGACTCGGTCAGCCCAGTTTTTTTAATTCTTATATGTTGGCAAATTGTGCATTTTTGCATTAAAAATGATTGAATTGCGTTATTCTTATCTTTCGGTTAAGGTTTTTATGCGTTTAGTTAATCTGCATGCAATAGTTGTAGAATTATTAATAATTTAAATAAAAAAATTTAATTTGTTAATTTAATTTGTAAGCAGCCATATTTGTTTACATTTGAAACTTAGCAGAATAATAAATTAAGTCTTTCTGCACCTTCAGTGTCTTTTCGCCGAGTGGGACCAAAAGGAAACTTTTAGTTTTGTGGACCTTCCGCCTTCTGGCCGAATTGCTTGTTTTCCTGTGGAAACTGTAATTTTAATTGTGAAAAAAAAAAAAAAAAAAAAAAAAAAAAAACGATTGTAAACTGTTTTAATTGTATTTGGTGTTTTATGGCTTTCTACATTTTACAATTTTAAATGAAGATTTCTTGTGTTTTTATGTACTTTTGCCTTGCCGCGAAGTGAGAACTGAATTAATTGAATGAGAAATTTATCTCCAATGAAATTCGAGGAATTAAGTTTAAATGATTTTCAGTAAAAAATGCGTATAATTTAATATTCCGTACATGGAAGTCATGTGATGTACACATCAGATTTTGTAAAATTGTTTTAATTGTATTTGGTGTTTTATTTTTTTCTATATTTTTTAATTTTTAATGAAGATATTTTGAGATTTTATGAATTTTTGCCTTACTGCGAAGTGAGAACTGAATTAATTGAATGAGAAATCTGTCTAATGAAATTCGAGGAAATAAATTTAAATGAAATGCATAGAATTTAATATGATAGCCCTCGAGGCTTTGCCATAATCACACACACATATAATTTAATATTCCGTACATGGAAGTCATGTGGTGTTCGTATCAAATTTTTTAAATGTTGATTTTTAAAATTTTTAATGGTCAAGTCTCAGGTTGTCAGACCGTGATTTGAAGTTTACAATTTGCTTTTAATTTCTTTTCCTATTTTAACACGATAATTCTTTAGTGAAATTCTCTCAATATATCTCAGAAGTCACTTACATTAGGAATTGTTAAAGTAGAAATTGAGAGTATTAAAGTTCTAAGAATGAAATGATTATTAATGATTGACGTTAATAAAATTAAAATTAAATTACTGACATTCTAAAGGCATCGACCTTAAAATTAAAATAAGCCTTAAAATTACAAAATTTATATTAAAATATGCCAACCAGGCCTCAGAATTAAAATATACTCAAAATACTCATTGAATTTAATTTAAAATTGGTAATAAATTTAAATTCTGATAAATTATTTCGCTGTGAAAATATGCGTTTCAGTGCAAAAATGTAATTTTGAATGCTTTTGTTTGAATGTTAGGTAATATGTAAGTAGAAGAATTACCAAATGCTCAAAAATTGCTAAACATATACATGATTCTGGAAAAAATATTTATTCTCTTTAATTAAAAAAATATCCAGTTTCCATACAATTAAGATACTCAGTCATTTGCATACTGTTTTAAAAATATATAAATATGAGAATCGAAATAATATCACAGCAAACAATTTCTAGCTATGTTAAGTGACACATAAGATTATAAAAATTGTACCAATGAAACAGACTCTGTAATAAATAAATTTAAGGCTTAAATAAAACTATCTAAAAAAATATTGAAATAATATTTTTTTAGGAATAATAAAATCTGCTTTATACAAAATAAGTTTCTAAACGTAATTACATTTACCAAGCTTGAATATGTTTTTATGTTAAAAAATGTCAGGTATAAAAACTCTAAAATGATATTATGCATACATTTAAAATAATTTAAAAAAATCTACCAAAATGCATTGCATAACAACAGATTGTACCTCCATTTGAGATTTTAGGTTTTCAGGATTAGAAAAGTAAAATTTTATAGCTTTGCGTTTTTTTTTTTTTTCTGACCATGATTCCGTAATGGTTGTTGGGGTTTTACAGTTTCTCCAAAATTTCTTCAACATCAACGTTGTCACTTCCTATTTTCTCCTTCTAGCTCATGCGCACTAAGAATCTTGACTCTGTGGTTCTGCAAAAAAGAACTATTCTCTTCTGTTTTTGCAAGTTCGTGTACACACTGTGCTCACCGCTCGGATGAATGCAATTCTAACGCTATGTATATATTCTGATTTATTAAAAGAATTTATTCTTTACAAACTGGTGTTTAATAATCATGTAACAACCCCAAACTGATGACCCGGACTTGATGTTCACTTTCAAAAATGATTTGTTCAATTTGTTTTTCTCTCTTTTACAGATTTTTTAATGTAATTTGTTCCAAGAAGGGAGATGGTATGGCGTTTTACCTTTCCCCCACATTTCTGCAAAATCGACCCTGACGTCACGTTCTGATTTTCTCCTTCTAGCACATAGCGCGCTAAGAATCTCGACTCCGCGGGACTGATTTTTCCTTCTAGCGCATGGGTGCTAAGAATTTCGCCTCTGCGGGACTGCAAAAAAGAATTCTTCCCATCTGTTTTTACAAGTTTGTGTACACACACTGTTCACCACTCAGATTAATGTCAATCTAACGCTATGTATATATTTTAATTTATTAAACGAGTATATTTACAAACTGGTGCTTAATACTAATCATATAAAAACCCCCAAAACTTCTATCATAAAATTTACATTCTTGAATATTTAACCTAATCTTTCTCTAAATGTTCATTTTAAAAAATCTATTACGAATTATTCACATGTTGTTAATGGGCAACGGAAAGTAGTCAATAGGATGGTCTTGTTACGTGGTTGGTAAAAGTCCATGCCATTCGCTGGGAGCAGAAATCAATTATGCTTTAGATTTGTTGAAAGTTCGTTTTATACAATTACCTGAAAATCTTCTGTTATCCTCCAGCGTCTACAGCTTCCGAAACACAATAATTTCTCTCTCTAAATTAAAAAATGTATTACTTATAACGCCCAATCCTGTGTACGTTTAATATATGCAGCCAATTTCGAGGTGAAGATAAATAAAGGTAAATAAAATCAAAATTCAAGGTCATAAGCAAGAATACTTTTCACGCATTCATAGAGAAGTTTTATATATATTACAAACTTTTAGCTAATTCCATAAGAATTCAGTTCTATACCTCAGAGAACAAATTTCTTTCAGGTTTCTTGTTTATCTTTTATACACAAATCTTCAGAATAAAACTCAACGTATCTACATACGTCTATATACACATGTCTATATACTTATTTACATAAGGCTTTTTCACACAAAATAATTCTTATTCCTCTTCCTCACTTGATATATATCTGGTTCTTCTAAGCCACACAGATGCTGGAAGGTTTTGACACCCGAAATATTCTCTTTGGAGTTCCCGCTCAGTAAACTGAAAATTGCACGGCGCTCCGTAAAGAGTTGTGTTCATGGAACCATTAGAACCTTGGAATGAAGTAGGAGTAGATGAAGTCATGCTTGTCTGCAAAATCTAAGAAAGGGAAAAAAAAAGATTTAGGCCAATATATATCTAAAAAATATACTTGTTGCCTAACCGCGGATTAAATGATCTGAACGCTCTTGACTGGCACTAGTTTCAATTTATCAGTATGAGAGTTTTATTTTGCTAATACCTGGAGAGATCAGGATAACGTAAATTGATATAACCGAAAGAGTTTTCAACTTCCATCAGTTTGCATAGAATATTTGACACTGTTATTTCAGCGTTACTTTCACGAGTGATAAGCGTCTGGTTAGTTAATAATGCTCAAAACCGGCGCATGCGGTTCGGTCGCATCGTCGTAAGAATTTAGGATCTGCAGAATTTGCACCGGGAAGCAAACTGCTAGTCCTGTTCCTTATTAAACACAGTCCATGAAAATTGATATTCATATTTTACAACACTTTCGTATTAGTGCTTTAATATAGCGTGAACGAAATCAAGCGATGGGGACTCCAAAGTGTAAATAATGGAAACATGAATATATACGTTAAACTTTCCTGAAGTAAGCACTCATGTAAATAGATTTACCTACCTAGATATGGCTTAGTAGTATGACACTTTTCTGTTTGATAACCATCATAACCACGGATTTACTATAGAGAAAACAGTTAAGTACGATAAGAATGCTTATGTACAAGAAAAATACTTTACATGAAAATTTTCAGGTTATCAGATGATGAAAATAGATAATAATTTGACCAATAGGTGCTGCTAGAGTTAATGTTTACTTTTGATTATAGCGTGCTCTTTTCAGAAATGGATAACTAACGATGGCCAATATTTGATGTATTATTTCAGTGATGGCGAACCATTTTGAATTCAACGTGTCAAAATTCGGAAAAACCTTAACTCTGGTGGTATATCATTTATAGATTAATGAATGCTAACGCAGTCTAGAGCTAAACGCAGAGCTGTAGGCAAACGTAACATTACATGAGACAAATATTTTTATATTATGCAATTTTTTTTTTGTCTCCGTCGACGACTCTGGAAATGCGTGATGCGTGTCACCCAAGATGGGTTCATGTCATAGGTTTTCTTTGACTATATTGACTTCTAAATCAGAAAGAAAGTAAATGCTCTGTTTGAACACGTGTTCAAGATCGCATTCAATTCATAGGTTACTCAGATGGCCCAAAATTAAGGAAAGAAAAGTGTAAGAATTTTACTTTTCCTTACATTAAGATCTGAAATTTAGATTTAATGGATTTAGAAGCTTTTGTATCAATGACTCATGCATTTATTTTGTTGCATTTACGAATGATTGAAAAGTCTTGGTTTGGAAGTCCATTTTCTTAAGAAATTAAGAAAAAAGAAAGGTTAGAGTTTTACTTTTCCTTACATTAAGCTCTGAAAGTTCTATTTGATGGATTTAGAAGTTTTTATATTAATGAATGATGCATTTAATTAATCATAATATTTGAGAATAGAAATATATAAAGTACTATTATGCTGTCAGGTATAATAATAGTCAATAATTACCTCATAAGTATTCCTCATGCAATTTGATTTTTGCAAGTAGTTCGCCCAATATTTCGTATATTCTCCCTCCCGAGAATACTCATGTTCTTCTCCACTGGCGAAAGCGATGACGTTGTCGTAACTCTCCTGAGAATGTTCCAAGGCATGAACGAGCATCCCAGAGTAACTCTGATCAGCAATTATGTACACCCGTTGTGCGGCACATCCCTTGATGTCATAAAGCATCTCCTTCATTGTATATACTTCGTTTCTTTCGGCCTGTTGGAGAGGAAAATGTTCAGAGATGAGCGGTTCACAACCTGTGATACGCGCACCCATGCGGGTATGCGACAGCTTAGTCTAGAATACACTCAAAAAATTAACAGCAATGGCGGAAAACAGAAAAAAAGAATAATAATAAGTACTGATAAAAAAGGAAAACAAGATATTCAGAAAGCTTGAATTTGGCATTGAATAAAAGGGCGAGTAATTGCGAGGAATTCTAGCGTGACCATCGCAGACCAAAATGCATACAGAAGCAATGCAATTATTTGTAACTAACCGCCCACACCATTTACATCATGCGATTTCTTACTCATCTTATATAAGCATTCCCTTTTCCGTTTTGTCACAGCACGTAGTACAAAGCGATTGGCAAAAAGTAACATTTTTAACATTTGAATGAACTATTAAGTGCATTATGTTGCTGTCTTTCTTTACAATTATAATAAAGTCAAATATATCTCAGTGTACAGTTTTGTTTTATAGAAATTTCTTTTTGAGTTATTAAACGTAAGGTTTCTTTAAATAGAAATTAATAAGTTGTTAAACAGATTTTTCGCACAGAACTAAAACTATGGAAAATAGCGCTGGTCTGGTGTTTGGCATTTTTGAAGAACTATTTAAGCCAAAACGAAGCTATTACGCTGGAAAATGATAGGCTGACTAGTAGCAAGAAAGTTTTAAACAGGAATTTTTTTAAGAACAAGATAAATATTATGATGAATGCTTAATATCGATTTTCATTCAAAACAGACGAGGACAGCCCCAGTCTTCTTTGTGTAATACGTAGTAAAGCTTTATCGGATGGAAGTACAAAATCTTCATAACTGTTGCATCATTTAGAAACCAAATATCCCAATTAAAAAAATAATAGTAAACCTTTTTCTAAACTGTCTGAAGGTCCTAATGTGAAATCTTATCTATTATCAGCTAACATAAATGATGAAAATACGATTGAAGAGTCCTACAAAATAAGTTGCCGTATCACTAAAAATGGTAAGACCCATACAATTGCTAAAACTTCGATGCTGCTCAGTCCATGTTTGGAGAAGAACATATTCGAAAAATTCATCTCAAAGTAGAAGATAATTCAGAATTCCTTTTTAAGAATTTTTGTTTCATGCTGAAACAAAAATTTTTTCTTAATCCTTTTCTGACAGTAACTGAGGGAAAAAAAATTGCCTATTTTTTCTGTATATGTTGATGAGAGTACGAATGTACTGAATCTTTCGAAATAGAATCTTAACTTTTGTTAATTTAGTATTTACGAAATTATATATTAAGTTATTTTAAAAGAATTATAGGTTTAGTATTTTACTGTGGTATGACACTATTTCAAGAACATTTTGGGTTTTAAGTCTGAATCTCATCAAATTTTAAGTCAGTGAATAAATTCATCCATTTTTTTTTTCATTTTCGTTTTAGAAACTGATTATTTATATTGGTTTTAGTTTAAAATATGTGTTACCATTTTATTTATCTGAAATAAATTATCTAATAATCGTTTTTTTTTTCAGTGTATTTTTCTGACCTAATTCTGCGCGCTATTAATATTATGACATTAAAAAAATACAGCAGTCAAATATATTCCAGGAATACTGTCAAAACAAGAGGAAGGGGGGTCATAATTCTAAAAGATGAGGTTAGGTGCATTCAATATTATAAAGTCTTATTAAGGGGTATACGAGAGAGAAAAAGTTGGAAAGCAGTTGGTTAGATAATCATTGTCAGTTTAAGTACTGTATCACTAATTAAAGGAAATAATGCTCTAGAATAAGTTTTAGCTTACTGTAAGAAAACAATGCACATAGAATCGTTTGAAATCTAAACACAAATGCAAATATATGAATTTGCAATACATCAAGTCTAAGAATATAAGATTCAAGAAATTAATACATATTTTTAATGGTTAAGCGTATATTAAATTGTAAGGCAAAGTACGAAGCTGTTGAGATATAAAGTATTTCTCCCGCTTTCCTAGCGTGCCTTCGTGATGTAGTGGTTCTGCACACGGCCGGTATTCCAGAGGTCCATGGTTCGATTCTCGGCGAAGGCGTCGTTAATTTTTCACCTGCTTTCCCCCTCAAAAAAATACCTAATGTCACTACAGTGTCACCCGAACTAAAAGGGTGCTGGATGATGATTCTCCTCACCCAGGATTTGGCCATTGGGTTTCCTAAAAACCCCAGTCGCCCTTTAAAAGGGGGAGTATATAAGGTATTTTTCCCTCTTTCCTAGCGTGCCTTCGTGGTATAGTGGTTCTGCACACTGGGCCGGTATTTCAGAGGTTCGTGCTTCGATTCCCGGCGAAGGCGTTGTTAAGTTTTCACCTTTCCTGCTTCCCCCCCCAAAAATACCTAATTTCTCTACAGTGGCGCCCGAACTAAAAGGGTGCTGGATGATGATTCTCCTCACCCAGAATTTGGCGACTGGGTCCTCTAAAAACCCCAGTCGCCTTTTAAAAGGGGAAGTACATGAGGTATTTCTCCCGCTTTCCTAGCGTGCCTTCGTGCTGTAGTGGTTCTGCACTCTGGGCAAGTATTCCAGAGGTCAGTGGTTCGATTCCCGGCGAAGGCGTTGCTAATTTTTCATCTTTCCTGCTTCCAAAAATATACCTAATGTCTCTACAGAGAAAGGTAAATGAGTTGACAACGATATATACATTTATGGAGAATATTACTAAGTTGCGGATTATGCTTTATGTTCATGAGATCAAATTTTGGTTTCAAGGCCAAAGTTTAATGATCTTTTTCTTGGTGAGTGTAGATTTAAATAAATAAATATCTTAACGACTAATCCACGTATACTAATAACACGACATTATAGAAAGTAGTTTCGGCTTGTTCAAAGAAATCCAAAAGAGAATAGTTACGAAGAGAAAAACTCTGATGTGTACACCACATGACTTCCTTGTACGGAATATTAAATTATATGCATTTTTTCTTGCATTTCATTTAAACTTAATAGATTGAATTAAATCTACTTCGCCTACAGCGCATAAACCACAATAGAATAAATGCATTCTTTAGAATTCACTTTGTTTACCATAGCGACACTCTGGCGCTAGGTTTACTTAATAGTATTATATTTCGTTCATATTATAACTCAGAATGCACAAAATTTATATCATTTAAATAATTATTTAATCGTTGCCACATGTTCTATTCAAATACTATAATAAAGCTAGAACGATGTATAAAAGGAATTAAGCAAACAAAACAAAAAAGAAACAGTTTTTCACAGACGAATGGGTATTTCTCATTCAATTAATTCAGTTTTCACTTCGCGACAAGGCAGAAATACATACAAACTCAAAATATCTATATTAAAAATTACGAAGTAAATCTCAAACGCTTATTTCCTCGAAAAAATTCCAGAAAGAATTAAGCATGGTTTAATTGGCAATAATAAATGAATGCGTTATCTTTGTTGTTGCGAAGCTAAGTTTCTCTAGATTGGCAACAAATCCACTAGTCTCCTGTTTCAAATGTAAACATCAATGGCCGCCATTAAAAACAGGCTTAGGGGCAATTAAACAACTTTAAAATTGCTGATAATTCTAAAAATATTGCACACAGATTTACTAAAGGCATAAAATCCTTAACCGGAAGATAAAAACAACATAATTCAATCATTTTTAAAGCAAAAAATGTACAATTTACAAACATATAAGAGTAAAGAAACTGAAATCACTGAGCCGGGTAACAGAATGGATATATATATATATATATATATATATATATTTATATACGTTTTGGTGCGGCCGATTGCAACCAAAATACGAGGTGCACATATACATGTTATAGCACTCCTATATACAAAATTTCAACGTTCTGAGGCTACTCGTTTTTGAGTTATGCGAGACACGTACGTACATACGTTCGTACATATGCCACGAAAAATTCTCTTCAGAATTCATTTTAAAGCAGTTTTATAATTTTTTTGGAGGAAAAGAGTGTTTTATTCTGTCCTTACATACAGATATCACGGAAATACATCGTTAAATTGCATTTGAAAGAGGTCAAAATGGGATATTTTCGTTGAAATATGCTGCCTGAAACTTTTCGCGATCACAATACTTCCTTTTTACTTCGTACAAGGAAGTAAAAAAGAGTCGTATTTTTACTTTATTCAAGATTTTGGTGGAATTAGTACTCTGTAATTGCTATCGATTAGTACGTTAAAGATGATATGCACAATTAATCAAGTTACTGGTAATTAGAAATAGCAGGATATCTCAGAAATGTTAACCGCACCATTACAATAATAATAATAATAATAATAATATAAATAATAACTAAATAAAAAAATGAAAGCTTGCAAAATTTTATATTAGGCTCAAAGGAGCGTGTTTTTTTTTTTTTTTTTTTTTTTTTTTTTCATTTACACATACACACGTACACGTTTCGAGAGCATTTGGACTAACGCATCTTTGGGATAAATATTTAAAAACAGTTATCTTTAGAATTTATAATTTATAGTCTAACGCGCTGCAGATAAAAATGTTTTATTCCGTACAGTGTGTTGCCACTGCAGCCTTTGAAATCGTTGAGTTTCTTAATTAAAAATTCATTAAAGTTTAAAAAATATGAAATAGGCGATAAAGAAGTTCGAAATTCAAGATTCGTGCTTCGCCTAAATTCAGATGGATGATTACGTTATTCAAAATCTGATGGCTCTAGGTGCCGTCGTTGTTTCGCATTTCGAAAAACATACATACATTCATGCAGATTCTTCATTGTTCAGTTTCTTTAAATATAATACAGGTCTCTAATATTTGGTGGCAACAAATTAAAAAAGTTATTTGCCGTTTATAGCGAAACGACGCAAAATGCCATTTTGACACTAATAGCCCTTCTCGGTTAACGCTCCCTTAGGCTTTAAGGAAAAACAAACAAAAAAAACAAAAAAAAAAAAAAAAAAAAAAAAAAAACACGTAAAACTGAAAGATTTAAATTTGCATTCTTTGACTGCTGTTAATATATTTTAAATCAGTGTAGTTTGATTTGTCCTCATAGCATTAGTAATTATTAATTAAGGGTATCAAATTATATATTAAGTTATTTTAAAAGAATTATAGGTTAGTATTTTACTATGGTATGACACTATTTCAAGAATGTTTTGGGTTTTTATTAATTATTAATTAAGAGTATTAAATTAGACAGAAATAAGCATGGATTTAAGATGTTCGGATCCTGTTTTCCACATGTAATTTACCAGTAAAAATACTCCAAAAGATATCGTTTAGAAAGGAATTATCTGCAAATCAGCTTGCGACTGAAATCTGGCAATTTCGCATATCAAATGCAAGTCAACCGCCATCGTTTCATCTTCATTCGCAGAACGTCATAAACTGCTCGTAAGCATATCATCAAAGCATCATCGTCAGACAGAAAAATATGTTTTGAGTCAGTAAAACGCAAAAGTTAAAAGATGGTGTGATTTATTTTCATTAAGATCTGCCATCTTTCTGGATGTATAACTTGATAAAAATCTCTTAAAAAATACTGAGGTCATTTTTCCCAGGGCAATTTATATTTTTGAATATCTAAAGTTAATACAGGCAATTAGAATACCGATGAATTTTATTTTTAAGCGTTAATCTAAAGTCAGAATTTTGATATGCTAATTACATGACCCTAGACTGATGTAATCATCGTGGCACAATACTGACAAGGCACAATTTCGATAAATTAATGGCCTGCCCACTGTACAGTTAGACTGCTAAGATCAATGGCAGCTATTTTAAAAAAGTGCATTTATTGCATTTTATTTAATTCAAGCAAAAGATGTTCATGTCAATTTTCGCACATATACATTTTTCTTACACACATTTTTTAAATAAGAAATTATATAATTACCTGTCCATTGCCATTTGCATCCCATAGCAGTATTGATCCATCTTTTTGGGTTGGACTACTCAGGTAGAGGACCAATGAATCGGCACAATGCATTGTCTGGCAAATCGTTTCTATATGATATCGAAGTGCCAGTTTCAAAGTAACTGGATACGTTTCTTGCCAAATCTCTTCATTCTCTGGAAATGGAAATGTGAAATGTAGGTTGCTAACACATATACTAAATAAACTAATGAATAATCGAATAAGTGAACTATAAATAAATTCCCTGCATACAATAGCTGAGCTATTATTTAAACCTTAAATGCATGTAGTTGCCATTTGGCAACATACTCATATTTAGTCATGTAAATCAAATCAAAACGCAAATTTTAGCTTACTGCATAGTGTAACCAAATGGATACATACTGTTTACGTATATAATTTTGAAAGTGTAAGTGTGGTGGCCCCTAACGGCGTAACGGTCATTATTGTGAGTTGATGTGTAGACTGTATACATTATTTCTGTTTACGAATTTTTGATTGTGTTTGTTATTAATTTGATGCATTCAAAGTTTTAAAATTATTTTAATAAGTTTATAAGGTATGTATTATTACATAAAATTGTTATTACACATTTGCTTATCGTATTTTTTTGTAAAAGTTAATAATATTTTTTCAAAAATTGGAATAAAAACTTACTTTAGATTTTTTTTTTAGTATTTTTCCTATTTTATTGATATCAATTCTAATGTATTTTTTACTTTAAGAATAAAAATAAAAATTCATGCATTTAAGGGTTAAAAAACTGGATGACTATATCAACAAGAAAACAAAACGTTGAAAAATACATTTTTCTTTGGTTTAATTTGAATTTGAAGCTATAAGCTTCCTATGATGTTGTTGAAAACATTTATGTGTGTATATCTTTAACGTATATATATATATCAAACAGTATCTGTTACTTGATATCATCAATAATCACATCGAAATTAAAGATGTAGGAAGAAGACAGGGAAATGAATCTATGATTCGAGAATGAGATCAAATATTATTATTATATGAATTAAAAATAAATTAGGAGATGAAAAGGAAATAACATAAAAATAAATAATAATTTATAAATGGAAAAAAATTTATAAAAGGGTGTTAAAAGTGTATTATTTTACTGATTGGCTGTGAGAATGAAAATATAATTACCGGAAATAAAAGAGTAAAAATATATGAAAAAAGGATGAGGACACAAAAAATAAAGAAATGTGAAGAGCCTAGAAAGGTCATGGAACTAAAAATACATTAAACAAAATAATACAAAGAAAATAATGATATTAAGGAGATGGAGTTGAAATAAAAATTTTTAAATGAATGTTAAAAACAATATACAGTGTATTAATACTAAACAACATTTATGGCTCTTCACTTCCCCCAAAAAGTAGCATAAGTAATGAAAGAGTACGAATAAAAATGCAAATAAAGAAATAAATTTCTATATGAGTAGAAAAGCTATCCTGAATAATAATAATAATAAAAAATCTTAAACGCAATCTAATTCCCTTAAAAAAATCTTTCACAAAGGCATCCTACCTTAGGCAGATAGCATTTGTGTACTACGTTATATATATAACAAAAACCACGTAAACTCCTTTGCAGCCAGTCCGTTTGCCAGGTTTTGAACCCAACATATTGGTGCTAACGGTTTTATCGTTCAGCTGGTAGTGAGGACACATAGTTTCTGATTTTAGAATAGACACTTCAAGGTAATTTTTCTTGCCCGTTTTATCTTGTAACCATGGTAACGACGGCTACCAAAGAAGATCGAGTCTGCTAATAGTTTTTTTTTTTTTTATTATTATTACTTGAATTACGTCTTAAATGAGGTGGAGGAAATAAGTGCTATGCGGTGATGGCGACATGCGTTACAATCAGGAATGAGAAAGAGTCGGTAAGACCTCGAAATATTTATGACAATTAACAGACTATAGATGAAAGGAATGAGAAGGGGGCAAAGTTGGATGGGGGGAAGAGGAGAAGCTGAAAGCTCAATCTGTTTGAGGGTTATGCAATATTTAAATACAAAAGAAAATGTGAAAATGAATCATTATTTTTAAATACAGAATGAGAACAGGGCCAAGAAAGTAAGAAACTCAAAGACGAATTTCAAATGATAAAGCCGTTTACCATCAATTTCTTTATTTCCTGTAGAGTAAAACGTCTTGATATTCCTTGGCAAGAAACCGTTATTTCTGAGCATCTGATAGAATGTGAGAACATTCTGCAAGTAAATGGGTTTATCCGACAATCTGTCCCAACCACCAGCTATTAAAACAGCTTGATCACAGCTCTCCAGCATACGACAACGAGTTTTCGCTCCCTCACCAGTATTACTGCAAGCATATGTATTACTCTCAATGGGATCACAGGACAATTTCTCTGAAAGATGTTTTGGTCGAAGAGTAGGACAAGGGGCAAAACCTGTAAAAAAAAACCAATGATATTAGTCCAGAACAATAACAACAAAATTGTTAACATTTAGTTCATAATTCTTAAAAGTAAAGGAAAGGAAAATCGTAATAATTGTACGACGTTTATGATATATCTTATTAAAGTAAATATAAAAAAAGGTAAATACGCTAGAAGGCTTTAAAATATCTTGGAAGAATGGGATTAAAATCAAAAACACATTTTGAATAAAAGTGGAAGATTTTTCAGAAAATCTAGTTCGCCAACTGAACAGTTTTTAGGTATAATTTTAGAAGGAGAACAAATAGATAACGATTAAGCGACTAAAAACAATGTACATTGCATAGCACTACAGCAAAGCTTTAAGATAATTAAATTCTTTTAAGGTGATTAAAGAAAAGGAAGTTGTGTGAGCTTCCTCGGAAATGGGTAAAATATTTCTCTAAGATAAACATCTTTCTCGTCTTTAATTTTGTCTATTTTTAAAGTTATTTATGTACAGGTTGTTTCAGCAAATCGGTTACGAACTTCCAGGAGAGTACACCTAAACGATGAAAATCAAAAATCACACAGCAATGCGTGGTCGAAAGGGCTTTCCTGACGCTGTAGTAACAACACAAAACATAAGAAAGGAAGAACATGAACAGGGTGAGGAAACATGTTATACTTAGTAGATATCAAGAAATAAGAACACAAATAGACAATGATCGTCATCAAGATGGTCGTAATTTCAAAGAAGGTGTTTGAAATTACGACCCCAGACCCTGATGCAGCCTCTCATCTCCGACATATGGAAAATCTAATGTTCTGGAAGACACCGCGCATGTTTCGGACTTCCCCAGCAGCTGCCATGATACGTGCAGCAAGTTCCTGAGCGGGACTCTCTACGGAGGCTTCATACACCAATATCTTGACGTACTTCTAGAGGAAATAGTCAATGCAAGCCAGGTCTGGCGATCTTTCTGGCCAATGCTCCGGACCACCTCTGCCGATCCCATATTTAGGATACGTTTCGAAAGCAATTTCGAACGCCTTCTCTGATGAAGATCGTCTATTTTTTTGGTTTCCGTTTCACTAAGCATAATAAATATACATTCTCACTCTGTTCGTACCCTTCTTTTCTTGTGTTTTGTGTCCTCACTACCCCGCCAGGAAAGCGTTTCCGATTATACACTGGTAGGTGTTTTTCCATCGTCTAGGTGCACTCTATCTCTTCTGAAAGTTTGTAACCTATTTGCTGTAACACCCTATATATATATATATATATATGTATATAAATGGGTACACAAATACCTTTGAAAGCCATATTTATATTCTTTTAAAAGATGTGACAGCAAGCAGTGGTAAGCTGTTATTAAAATTCGAGCGCAATCTATTTATCCACTTATACTTCAACATCTTCTTCAAAAATTCCATTGACCCACTGTGGCCACTATTGCTATTGTATATTCATTTTATTGATTTCATTTTCTCTTCTCATCTCAACTCTTTCACTGCCTTCTCCAGGAGTTTTCAAAAGGGGGAAGGGAATTTCATAATTTCTGAGGGAAAATGCGCTGAGCATTTCATTTACTTGTTAAGGATTTAATTTTAGTTTAGGAATAGAGAAAGCCATTTTTGAAAGGAAAAAAATTGAGAAACACTGGTTTTGTGTTTAATGACTGCATCAAAAATTGCTTCAGTGTGATAAAATCTATGGCGTACATTGTTTGCTTCTTCCATCATTCACTACGATTTCAGATTCTTGGACAATGAAAACAATTTTAAAGAGACACGATGCTATTGCTGTTTCATCAGTAGATCCTTCTTCTTTAGAATACCAAGAATCATTCATTTTTCTCCTTTCATGAATTGATATTAAACTTTGAATTTTATTCCAGTGAGATTCACTGCATCAAAAGTCATTAATTTCTTAAAAAAATTTTCATTTTCTTCAAGTCAGCCAGCCTTTCAGGGAAAGATGTGCAATCAATCCACTGACCAATAATCTTAAGTGTATTTCGATTATTCAGCAGACTGAAAAAAGATTTGGATTATCACTATTCATGCGCTATGAAGCAGTTGAATTTGATGCAGCAAATTACAGTTAGAGTGTACATCTGTGTTCATTCAGGGACTGATTACCCCCTAGGTTCACAAGCAGGGCCTAGGACCCAGACTTTAAGAGATCCATATATCCTGTAGTTCTTCAGAATTCAGTTTTTCTCTCATAAAAACAAGGTAAGTGGACTGATGAGATTCGGAAAGAACGATGGGCTTAAGTTCCTAAATTTCACTAATCGAGCCCTGTTGTTAGTAGTAAGGCTCTTTTTTATTTATTTTAAATTTCGAAAATTTTTGAAAAAAAAGATGAATAGTTATTTAAAATCGTAAATCAATTTTACCTTGGAAATTATCTCGGCATTCCAGCCTTTGCGCTTTTCGGGATGGAGATTCTCCTGGCAGATGAACGAGAGGAAAGAAGTTGATTTCACATTCCTTATAACGGTATATATTTGGCAGCTTCATTCCCCAGATGGATTTCATGGTTCGTGGTAGACAATGTCTGCGAACAGCCAAAGAAATGCAGGAACTGTCATCTGAAAAAAAGATTAAAACAAGATGATGAAGCCACATGTGTCAAGTATTAATAGTATACAGTATATATGGCACGGAATTCTATATTTCTAGTATGGGAACAATTATCTTCAAGCATCTGAAGTTATTGTGATATCATAGGCTGAAAATTTAATTTTTTTTATTTGCACGGTTTTGTTTTTCATTCGGATGGGTTTATGATCAGCTATAAATAATAAAATCTCAATGTAAATTAAGTGCTATTAAATACTTATTAATATAAATTTTACAATGGCAATCATTCAGAGCAACACAATAAAATAGCGACTTTCGTTATCCCAGAACTCAAATTAAATAAAGTTGTATTGTAAGGATAATTTCTAAAAGCAGAGTTAAAAATAATTTATATAGATCTGTAATAGCTTTCCTTTTAATGCAGAACTTGATCTGGGAAGGAGATATATTTCATTTATTTCCATGCAATTTTTAGTTTATTTTAAAGTAGCCTTCCAATCGCCTTTGGTTAGATTTAGAATTACAAATGAATGCAAGTAAATTGAATATCTTAAAATAAATTGATTTGTAAGTTAAACAAAACGAAATATAAAAATCAGATGCCATCAGGAATGTAGGATTCGAAATATATGTATGTTTATCAGCAATTACACTTTTCAAACTTTTGTGTGAAAAAAAGGGAAGATAATGTTCTACAAATTACAGAATTTTATATTTAAAATATTGATTTCGTGCTTGTAGCTTTAAACTTTCATTACCTTAACATTCATTAATTTTTAATAGCGCACAAAATGTAAACAAAAATGTAATTATTCATATAAAGAAGGCATTTCATTTTTCACATTTATAAAAACATATAATTAAGTACTTTTTAAATTTTCGCAATCATTTTTTTTTTTTTTTTTTTTTTTCTACAACGTCCAATAAATGAAGGATCCTCATATTAACAGTTAAAGTAAAAGCATCTTTAACCAAGCAAAAGAATCTTTTATTTTATTATCTTTTATTTACTAAATCTTTATCTTCAACTAAGCAAAAGAAAGACTATAGTATAATTCTCCTACTAAATGTGCCATTTTATTTCCGATTCTAAAATACAGGAGACTATTAAAAATTATAGAAATCATTAAAACTTTTAGGAAAAATTTCTGTGAAAAGTTACCACCAAATATGTTACTAAATTTACTAAACTGGAGCAATTCTCAAATTCGGAAATGACTGATATTATTACGAGACTGCTTTCGGAATAATCAAGAGAATATAACAAATTTCCTGTAGTAGATATGCGAGTTCCGTTTTGCCTTTATGCTTTTCGAAGTAATTCGCATTTAAGTTCGGAAACCAGTTAGAGAGAATAGGAGGTTACCTTTGTCGGCTGGTTATCCTTTCACATTTCTTGAAGCTGAATAAAATGAGTGAATCTTTTGCCTTTCTTCCCTTCCGTAATGAAGATTTATAGTAAAACTATTTATAACTTCTAAGATGGGTGCACGTATTGTAAAGAATAAAAGCCTGGTGTAAAGGATCTGAGACAGCAGTTGACTATTTAAAAACACACTAGCAGACTATTAAGCAAATTCGGATTAAAAATTATTATGAGACTATTGCTAACAGTAATTTCAAAAACAAAGGAAATTACGAAATGCAGGTAAATAGTTTAAATATTTGTAAAATGTTAAAAACTTCTTTAGGTTTAAAATAAAGAAAGAGCGTTTTACTATTCGTGGCAAAAGTATTCAACTTCTGAATCGTTACTTTATGTTACAATTAATGCATTATCACTGGCAGTTGTTAATCGTCACTGGCAATCATTAAGTAGAAATCATCACTATAAGTATTAAATCGTCACAAGGATGAGACCATCACTAGAAATTATCATTGCTCGAAAGAGAAGTTTCATTTATTTTCCATGGGCCTCGTTTATTGCCAGTTTTCAGAATGCTGCCATTCGGCAAAAGATAAGGTTTTTATTTTACCTTTCGCATTTGATCAGACTAGATTTGTTCAATAAACATAACAGTTTAAAAGTAAAAAACTCATTTCTCAAAATTTTATTTCTTATTTTCTTTTTTAATCTTGTTCTTTATTTTTTTTTCAAAGAGCTATAAATTAAAAAAATAAATAATATATATTTGCAAAAACTTCTGTTTCTGACTTCCCACATTACATGCTTAGTACTGAGTTGTTTGGGTTTTTCTTCTTCAGCTTGCATCACAAATCTTTGTTACAGGAATGTTCTCTGACTCGTTTAATTTTGAAGTCAATTGTATAATTAGTATTGGTTACACTTTATACTGAAAGATAAAAATAAGTTTAATTTGAAAGCCCCTTTCTGTTTTATATCAGGCACTTTTCGATATAATTCACAGAAAAAATTTCAATCTATACAAAAAATATATACACCATTATAATTCCTCAGCCTGTCTAAATAATATTTACAGAAATTTATTTAGAAGTTCTGAAGCCATATACTTTTCTTCAATTCACATTTTTGCATTCGTATAATTCACTGTTATATAAATAACAAGGAAAGAAACTACCGTAAAAAGCACTGCAAACATGTAAAATTGTATTTAGAGCATTAAACCTGTATATATTCTGTAATATACAGTGACTCACATTTGTTTTTGACATTTATATTTTTGAAATTTGTATGCATAGGTTTTGTATTAAACACTGAAATATAGACTCCAAATTTTTTCTAATATATTATTTTTCTCTGTTTCTTGCTTGCTTCAAAATAAACAGTACCAAAATATTCTTTGAAACAAAATAATTTACTCCAAAAGCGTTAATCAGTAACTCACATAATAATTCGGATAGCTTTGTTGAGATGTTGAGAAGACGGTGTTTCTTGTCATATTTTTTATTTAAATAAAAATACATAACAAGAATTACCATCTGCATTTAGAAATTATTACCTGTTTAGCAAAATATAGTAAGTTTCACACTTGATGTGATCATGGAAAACTGATACAAATTAAAGACAAATTCAGCTCAAAATTTGACTGTTCTCGATTTTAAAAAATAAAAGATATAAAATAATAAAGATTTAAAAATAAAAGATAATCTCGAAGAAAGTATTCAAAAAATGTAAAAAATTCTTAATGCAAAGAGTTCAACTAACTTCGATGTACTAAAACGTTAGAAACTGGGAAGAACTTTCAAAATGCACTTAAGTCTGGACTACATTCTAAATTAACACAAAGCGATTAGGAATTTATCCTAAAAAAATCTAATATGACCTAAAAATTAGAGCTGTAAAAAACGGCATGCAATAAAAGTTAACACTGAAACTGTTAGAAGAGTCATTAAACCCATAACAGGGTCAAAAGAATTAACCCTGAAGCTATTAGAATAAAATGGCGGCGATCAGGAGGAAGACAATTCTTTATTAACAACAACAACCAAAGAAACAAGCAACAAACAAAAAGTACATCTGGTTTTCAGAAAAGCCACGGTAAAAAAATTATCATAGTGAAATAATTTTTTATTTGTAAACGAATCAGTATTTAATATATTTGGATTCGATCAACGAATTGTTGCAAGGCGAAGTCCAAATGATGAATCGAATCCGAAAAACCTATTATTTACCGTTAAAAGTGAAAATGGAAGCATAATGTTATAGGTCTATTTCGCTGCCTCTGGGATGGAAAATTTACTTTTCATAGAAAATCATATGAATCAGAACAAATCTGTAAATATTCTTAATGAAAACCTGAAAGCGTCAGCAAGAAATTGGGGATACAAAATGCATTCAAGTTCTATCGGGATTATGATCTTAAACATAGAACTTCAAATGTTCATTTGGGATTATAATAGAACTGCTTCTATCAGAACTCCTCTATATATTTCTAACTTAAATCTATCAAACATTTATGGAATAAGTTGGAGAAAAGAATATATAAACACGAAATTTCTTTTAAAGCTGTATTAAAAGCAATTTTTACAGAGAAAGGGAAAAATAGAATATTCTTAAAGGAAACAATTAGTTAAAGCCATAACAAAGGTATGAAAAGTGTAATTTTAGCTAAAAATATATCGAATTATTGGATGTCCCGTTATTTTCATGTTTTTATTACATGAAAACTGCTTGTTTAAAGTGTCCGAATAGTTATGAAAGTTGATTTTCAACCATTTTGAATACACTTTTTTTTTTAAAAAACCGAAAACGTTTTGAATACATTTTCTGAAAACAAGCAGAGTTTAAAAATGATGATCAATAAATATATGCGAAAGAAAAACGCAGTCATATCGCTAATACTTAGTAACACATATCTGAATTTAAAACTAAGAACACAGGTGTCGGAAAACAAATCTTCGCCTTGACTTAGCTGTGACTTCTCAGGTAACTTTTCTGCCAATCAGAATGACTTAATTCATCACTTAAAAATAAATAATTAAGAAAAAAAAATATGTGTAACAACGAAAATTTGTCCTGATCTAGAGTTTTGTATTAAATACTTTGTATTTCACTAATAATTGTGTAACATTGTAAAGAGTAAAGTTAAATATTTTGAGCTTTATGGTTTTACTATTTTTGTTATTTAATTTTTAAAATTTATTTATTCATTTTCTATTTAATGTATATAAATTTGACTGCGCGTAAATCCTTACACATTTTGTTTCAATTTAAAATTTTATTCAGAACTTCATGAAACAAAACAATTTCTAAATAAAAATAAAATTAGATTGTTTTACATCTTGTGTCAAAAGACAGTTCAGGTACTTGGAATTAACTGAAGATCTACTCTGATAACGAATTTAGCCATTTTATATATGCAATTTAAGATATCAGGTCCAAAATATAGCTCATTAAATGACCGGTAGAATTTTTAGAAATAAGGTCTGTAGCAGTTGTATCTATAACCGATAAATGAGATAATTGAATTAATTTTTGGTTTACTGGTGATAGAGCTGCACCTGCGTCTTCTGTCCCAAAGATGCTTCAAAACGGGCTCACTTTTAACCCAATGGGAGCACTCCCCCTTTTTTTTTTTTTTTTTTTTTTTTTTAATGGAGCTTATTCAAATTTGCTTTCTTCTTCATTGCCCACTCCACTGCTTTTGTTGAGGCAGGTGTCAAACCAGCCACCTATTGAAAAGAGAATGCAACTTCGGTCAAAGAGGTATTTGATAAATTTTCATTGATCCGATTTTAAAGACTTCATGTGTACACAGTACATCTTCCAAGAATATTGCAGTAATGTTCATCTCTGAATTTATTGTAAAACTTTGAATGGGGGGCTGACCAGAATTCTGAAGCTTTACTGCTTTAACCATTACAGTAAAGGAAAGGAATCTCACTGATAGTTGCCTCCATTTATGTAACCTTATTTTCTTTGCGTCCGGTTCTGGTTTATTCTTATTTTTTAAAACTAAAATGACATGAAAACGGGTGGAGAACTTTAACATATGACACAATTATTAGTTAGTTATTCATTCCGAAATGCAATCATTCTACTTCACGGGTTGTTTAGTATCAGTTATAATTAATAATACTATCTCCAAATAGTAGGTTATGCCTCGCATAGTAAAGTCAAGAATTCAAGAAAGCTAGTTCTGAGAATTCCTAGAATAAAAAGAAAATTGCGAAATTTAACAAAATATATATTCACTTAAAAATTTTGAAGTTTAATAAAATGCATACAGACACATTTTATCCTTTTTTTTTTTTTTTTAGCTCAAAGAGCCAATTCGCTCAGAAGGGCTATTAATTTTCTTATGGGATTTTACTATGATTCACTGTAAACGGCAAATCACTTTTTAAATTGTTGCCACTACATATTAGAGCCCTGTATTAAATTTAAAGAAATTAAATAATGAAGAATCTGCATAAATGTATGTAAGTTTCTCGCATTGCGATAAAACAACGGTACCTAGAGCCATCCAATTTTGAATAACGTTCGTCTCCACCCGAATATGGGCATCTGGACGCTCATTTGGAATTTGTTTTATTATATCTTTCATATTTTGTAAAACACTTATGAATTTTTGATTAAGAAACTCAATGCATTCAAAGCATTGTACGGAGGAAAAAAAATTATTTCCAGCGCGCGAAACGGTGTATCGGAAATATTGAAGATATGTTCTTTTAAATAGTATTTTGTGATATTGCTGTTGAATTGAATTTTATGGTTTAAATGCGAAGAGCATGATATTTAAAAAATAAAGGTAACGCACAAAACGTAAAAAAACGCCCCTTTGGGCGTAATATAAAATCTGAAAACTTTCAGATTATTATTATTTTGTTAAGCATATTCGCGATACATATAGAAGATTTAATTAAATTTTATTTGTGCACTGCATTAAGTAAATAAAGAAAATTATGTCTGTTTGAAAAAAATTTGATCTGAAAAAAGAAAGCATTTATTCTTACGTAATTCGCAAAAATATTCGCGGAAAAGGCAAAAGATATCTTATTAACTTATTTAAGAATAATACAATAAATTTGAAAGGGTCTGTGTTTAAAAATTTTATGCATGCTGCATATTTAATTCTACCGGAAATGCGCAAATTTCGGAATACTTATTTTTTCAATTCGATATTTATAGTAGCTATAAAAATTCGTACTAGAGCAAACATAAAAAGAAAAAAAAAAAAAAAAAAATCCTAGAGTACCAAAAAAGAAATTAAAATTAACTATTAAAAAATAAAGCTACAAAATCTAAAAATTGCATGTAAATTATTTTTATATTTATTTTTAGATTTTGCTATATTTATCACTTAGATTTTTTTTCGCTTACTTTAAATGCACTACTATATTTATCAATTTTAGGTAAAAGAAAATAATATAATTTTGCAATAAATAATTCATGGTTTAGAATTCGTAGAATTTAACCGAACGAAGTATTAAGTATTTATTGGAACTATTTATTTAAACTTTATTATTAATATTTATTATTCGTATTTATTTAAAATTTGAAGCTCTACGCTTTTAACTTCGAGAAATAAATGATAGAGTTTTGAATTTTTTGTTATTTAGAATATTTTTAAGATCTCGAATATTTTTATAATATATATTTAATATATATTATCTCGAATATTTTTAATATTTACTTCAATTAATATTTATAATTTTCTGAGTTTAAATAATTATGTTGCCACTGGATTATGGATTACTTCCGTTTTTCCTTCCACAAATCACAGAAAATTAATAAAATCAATATACTAATTTTAGTTGTTAATCAATATACTAATTTTTATGAATGAATCTTCAACGGTATTTTGTTTTAAGGCTTTTTAAGGAAATTTAATACGGCCTTTTTCTTTCTTGTGTTTCGATCTTGGGAGATATGAGAAATAAATCAGTTATATCTATATATAAAGGATAGATTTAGTAGAGCTCTTAAGAAAGGTCATACATCTCAAATGGTTTTGATTTTATTTAGATTACTGCAAAGCATAGTAGAGCTATCTGCATAAGGGAAAGGACGCCTTCGTGGAAGATTTTTCTAAGAGAATACATGTTATGCATGGAGAAAACCATGAAAACGCCACTGCAGCCACCCCGTTCGCTTGGAATCGAACCTATGTCGGAACTACTAGTATTCAGGGAGTTTAGCTCTCGGCCGCTGGTGAGCGCAAACTTAAATGAAAAATAAAATACAGGGCGAAAATTATGCAGTTATTGGAAATATCTCTCCAATGAAAAATTTCACCGAATTTCGAGAGACAAACGAACAGTATTTGTTTTTCAATTTCATTAATTAAAACTGCTTAGTTACTTAAGAAATTACACAACAGATTGATTCTTCAAATTAAATTTTTACTCACTCATAAAAGCCTAGTGCTAATCGCAAGGTATCAATTCAATAAGCTTTTTCGTTGTTTAGAAATGAACAAAAGTAATTCTTCCACTTTTTTTTTAAACTAGCCTAGTGTTTTAAAAAAAATTGTTTACTAACCAAAAAATATATGCTAGGTTTGTCATCACGATACTTAAAACCTCTTAACACTGAATAACCAACGAGAAATAAATGTATTAAATAATTAATAAGTCGCACTAAATCTAAATGATAGTGCATTTATGCAAATTCAATTCAAATGGCCAAATTCATTGGAGACAAACTTAAGCTTCACTCAGAGTGTGTAATTATAGTTAGTTATCATGATCGCAAAACCATGATGATAATTTTCGCTGAAAGATTATGTAATATAAAATATAACTGAATGAAATAATTATTCAAATTAAATAAGTTTACAGGATTACATATATTTAATTCTTAAGGGTATAGTTTTTTAAAAATTAATTCCATAATAATTATTCCGATGTCTTTAAAATCAGATTATTAGAAAAATTATATGAGTGATAATTTTAATGTACTTTTAAGTTTCATATTTAACAGTGAACAAATAAATTTTCATTAAATCTCAATAACCTGTGATAGAATGAATTATTGTTTTTATTAAAATGCGGAGATTATTTTACTTTGAACGTATATTATTATTCTTATAATTATTAGCATTCAGAATGTACTAAGCAATCCCAGAATAGTAAATTTGTCCATAATTATTTTAAATGTAAAATTTTAGAATATTTAAAAAAATGCTTTCTTAGGTCCATTGTAGATATGCAACAACTTGAATTAAGGGATAAAGAGAACATAGGAACCTAAATCTAAATTTTAACTCTTTTTTTTAAAGATAACTATTACATAATTCAATAATAGCTGATAATAATTGACAAATATTATACAAATAAAGATAATGACATACACATATAAAGCAACAGAATTTTCACTAACTAGCGAGAAACGGATTCTGAGCATAAATTTCAAGAATGACTTCTATAATGTTAAAATAGCCTAATACCGATGGTTCGCATAGGACCTTTGCGATGTATTAGTCTTTCAAAAAATCTGTTGCTTAATTTAAAAATTATTGCTATTGTAAAATAATGCATAAAGATATTCAACTTACCCAAATATTTTCCGTTGTTTTCTTTGCATTGCGATTCAGACCATCCATAATCGACAAAGAATACTACAAGGAGGTGGCCTAGATTGGCTTTCGGGTAGGGATCCACCACCAGAACAGCATCACGAGGTTCCAAGCGATTCGTCAAAAGACCGTCCGGTAATACAGCGAACAGTTTTCCTTCCGGTGTGGGTTCAGCAACATAGAAGTTCATCTCTGATTTCGGGATGGAGAGCAGTTTCTCGCAGTCTTCTTCAGTGGTCAGCAAGGTATTGCTACATGTCAGATTGCTGATGAACCAGAAAGCCTCCTCCGCCCAGAGATCCGTACGATAATACAAATATATGGAATCGGTATCGCGTATTTGTCTACTATTGGAAAGCATGCAAATGCTACAAAGGAGAGACATTACCAAAAACAAAGACATCTCTCTGTTTCAGTTAAATGTGACAGAAATGTAATAAAAGCAAGAAACAGTTGAAGAATACCTTTGGTAGGGGCAAAAGGAAATCGAAATTTGAGTGTGAATTTTTGGCTAGAAAATCTTATCACAGGCGTTAGCAAATGCTGAAAAAACGAAATTAAAAAATCAGTTATTCTTCAGCGAGAAAGCTGTTGAAATCATAAAACAGTTCGCTTAAGAAAAGGGAGGGGAAAAGAATATAAAACGGGAACTCGTTGACCTAACTGAGTCTTATCAAAAGTGTCGACAGAAAGTTTCTCTAAAAACTGACGTCTCGATCCCGCAATCGGGTCGTTTTATACAGACATGGTACAGCGCTCCTTTTTTCCCAAATGTAAACAAGACTTCGCCTTCAAAGCACTACGAACGGAAAGATCAAAGACTACCGACAGGACCCCGAGGGTTCTCACAAAAGAAAGAACATGAAGTAGGGAGCTCAGGGAATTAGAAGAAAAAAAAGGGGGAAGACGGATATCTCCAGGTTCGTGCGTGGCATATAGGAAAAAGACCCCAGGTATAATGCCCAAGGTCCTAGTTATGACCCGCCTTTCCTGTTTATTTTACAATCACTCGCTACCGCACGTTCTCTTTGAAAGATACCGCTCTTCTCGGAAGAAACGGCGCGTTCATTGGACACTTGGGATGTCCAATCCATGTCCGTGAAAAGGCGTCGAATTGTTGAATATAATAAAAAAATTATACTTCTGTTACAAATATAGCAATCTATTTTTATTTAAAAAATGAGTTCGGAAATTTCTGAATGTAGCATAGCCCTTATCTTTGCTAACTTTATACATTAGTTTATCAATAACACGAAACTTTATCACTAATATTACCGGGAATATATAAATTCTCTTATAGGAATAGATAAACTACAAGCACATAAAAAACAGCTTGTGACAGATTTTCATCATACACGTATTAACACATTAAAAATACACGAAATAATTGTTATTATTTATTTGCGTCTGAAAAGTAATAAACAAACTATATATTAAATTCGCTATTCTTGATAACAAAGAGAATATATTATAGTCATTAAGGATACATTACTATAAACTCTTAATATTTTTCGAAAGGAAATGATCATCCTTTTACTTTTATTTATTATTAATTTATAATCGGCATTTGTCTCACTTATACCAACATACTGTTTCTTTTTTTTATTATATTCATTGTTTTATTGTTTTAAGCTATGGAATTATACGCATAAAACCAACATGTAACATCAAAAAATTGTATTTGTTATATTCAGCAAATACCTTTTAAATCCTTTTTGTTCAACATAGTTAATATTTTTGTTGTTGCGTCTTATCTCATTTGTCTGACAGTAACATCGGAACAAGCCTACAAATTTCATTGGGGAGGAGTGCAAGATTGTCGTTGGCAACAGCCTTGAACACGATACAGGTGACAGTACGACTTTTGCTCAGTTCAGCCGCCAGTTTTTATGGGGGGGGGGGGCGGGGGGAACGAATCCGAGGGTCACCCACTCTTCTTCCCGTACCAACAACCTCTCTCGGGGAACTTTCAGCTCAATACATATTTATAGTGTCCCCATGCCGCACAGACACTATACATTTAAAAATAACCATGCCTTCTCTGAGATTCGAACTTGGGTCCTACGGTGCTGCAGACAGCGTCGCTAACCACTATCCCGGTCGGGCAGCGTTATATTTCTATATTCGATCACTATAATTTATAGGTTTTGTTTTACGGATGAGTTATTTGTATTTGCTATACTAGATAAGATGAAAGCAAATGGACAGAAAAATTTGTTACTTTGGGGCTAGTTAGGTTTAACAACAGCATTAATATTTAGTAACCATCATTTAGAACTATTCTGTTTGTAATGCTCATATTAACTGTTAAAAAATAGAAGTAATCCGGAAAATATATCTCTGGAAAAAATATCCCCTTTCTTTAAATATTTTTATAAGCTCATAGTGAAATATAATGGATCATTTACACGTATTAAACGCATTACTTTTTTATTACAAATAAACAGTAAAACGTAAGGTATTAATAACTTCCATTTAAAAGCCGTTTTATAGTAAAGAATACTTGAAGACAAATATATTCCGCTTTTTTTTTTTTACTTGCATAACGTATTATGGAATTTGGTTTTCTTTGGTAGCATAAACTAGCATCAAATCCCTAACAGATGTTACGTGAATTAATCGTTCTATCTGAAAAGAACTATAGAGTCTTGGAAAGGTTTAAACCAATTCTGTATTTATTAAATCAGAACTTGAACATAAAAAGTATTTTTCGTGCTTGACAATCTCAACCACCGCTTGAGGCGAGATAAGTAGCAATGAAATTCAAATTAAACTAAACCTAGCAAACAAAAAGTACAGATCTAATGCGAAGTTGGCTCAAAATTTCTCATCAGCGTAATAATTTAAACGTCAGCAGCAATAACACAAAGCCGAATAATTGCAATCGTATTAGAGCTAGCTAAACCTAGTTACGAGGCCTCGAGAGGCAAAAACACACTCTATCTTACAACTCCAAACCTTCGATTTAAATACTTTAAAACTGTTCTACATTCTGGTGGGGAAACCGAAAGGAGAAGTGAGAGTAAAGCTCTAAATCATAAAGTAAATAATTATGCAAAATAATAATAACTCTGCAATCTTCAAGCTGTATATCAAGGGGAAATGAGATCATTTAGTGCATTTAGTGATGTTAAGAGCTGCAAGTAGATTTCTTAAAAGACATAACTATATTTTTATATCTTTTGAAAGAAGAAAGTAATTTTCGAATAATAAAAAGTCTGATGTGTACACCACATGACTTCCTAGTACGGAATATTAAATTATACGCATTTTTTCTTGTATTTCATTTAAACTTATTGGATTGAATTAAATCTACTTCGTCGACAGCGCATAAACCATAATAGAATAAATGCATTCTTTAAAATCCACTTTGTTTACCATAGCGACACTCTGAAGCTAGGTTCACTTAACAGTATTATACTTCGTTCATACTATAAGTCATAATGCACAAAATTTATATCATTTAAAGAATAGAATTATCTAATCGTTGCCACATGTTCTATTCAAATACTATAATAAAGCTAGAATGATGTATAAAAGAAATTAAGCAAACAAAACAAAAAACAAACAGTTTTTCACAGACGATTGAGTATTTCTCATTCAATTAATTCAGTTCTCACTTCGCAAGAAGGCAAAATAAAATTTAAAAAAAAAAAAAAAAAAAAAAAAAAACCTCAAAATATCTATATTAAAAATTACGAAGTAAATCTTAAACACTTATTTCCTCGAAAAAATTCCAGAAAGGATAAAGCATGATTTAATTGGCAATAATAAATGAAGGCGTTATCTTTGTTGTTGCGAAGCTAAGTTTCTCTAGATTGGCAACAAATCCACTACCCTGCTGTTTCAAATGTAAACAAACAATGGCCGCCATCAAGAGAAGTATTAGGCTTTAGCGGCACTTTTTTTTTTTACAACTTTAAAATTGTTGATAATTCTAAAAATATTGCATACAGATTTACTAAAGGCATTAAAACCTTAACCGGAAGATAAGAACAACATAATTCAATCATTTTTAAAGCAAAAAATGTACAATTTACAAACATATAAGAGTAAAGAAACTGAGATCACTGAGCCGGGTAACAGAGTGGATATATATATAATATATTTATATACGTTTGGTGCGGCCGATTGCAAACCAAAATACGAGGTGCACATCTACATGTTATAGCAGTCCTATATACAAAATTTCAACGTTCTGAGGCTAGTCGTTTTTGAGTTATGCGAGATACGTACGTACGTTCGTACAGATGCCACGAAAGATTCTTTTCAAAATTCATTTTTAAGCAGTTACATTTATTTCATTTTATCATTTGTTTATTTAGCATTGGTTTAATTTTTTATCATTATGTGATCTTTTTTTCCATTCAGGAATATATAGTCCTATGTTCTAAAAATTTAAAACTTTTTAGTCCAAAGGAGCTTTTATCCCTGAAGGATTATTGTTTTCGGTTATTAATTTTGCGTTGAATCGCTATAAATGTCCGTTTCACTTTTCAAACTGTTGCTACCACATGTTAGAGCCCTGCATTATATTCGAGAAAATTAAATAATGAAAAATCTGCATAAATATATGTATATTGTTCTAGTTAGCTTACTTCTGTAAGCCCCGTGTTGTACATATGTGGTGCACTTGGAGTCTGTATGTTCTCAAAGAAAAAAAAAAAAAAAAAAAAAAAAAAAAAAAAAAAAAAATGTATGTATATTTTTCGCATTGTGATAAAACAACGGTACATAGAGCCATCGAATTTTAAATGACTTAATCCTCCTACGAATATGGGCATGTGGAAGACCAAATTTGAAATTTGGAATTTGTTTTATTATCGATTTCATATTTTGTAAAACTTTAACGAATTTTTGATTAGCAAACTCAAGGATTTCAAAGCGAGCAATGGCAACACTCTACGAGGAAAAAACCTTTTTTATCTCTAGCGTGCGGAACTGTGTATCGGAAATTCTAAAGATAGGCTCATTTTAAAATTATTTTGCGACGCTGCTATTGAACTGAAATTTATGGCTTAAGTGCAAAGAACATGATATTTAATAAATAAAGGTAACATTTAAAACACTAAAAAAACGCCTCTTTGGACGTAAATTAAAATCTGAAACCTTTCAGATTTTTTTTTTTTTTTTTTTTTTTTTTTTTTTTTTTTTTTTAAGAGCAACGAGGAGCTCGCTTTTCCTTTGCATGGATAGAAAGCTAAGTATTTTCGTTTGGATTTCGAATTTTCCTTCCTGATTTTAATTGTCAACTGATTTTAATATGAAAAAATTGAAAAAGCAAGAAAATTTAAAGGTTTTTATACAATTCTAGGCAGTTTTTCATTCAAATAAAGAATAAGGCAATAATTATTAAAAAAAAAGCATTAGCGATTTTTTTTTTTTTTTTTTAGATAAAATAAGAGAAAAACGGAAAGAATAGAATTGGGGTGAAATTGCAATTTAAGATGGGAATAATATTTTAAAATAAAATGTCGACTTGCCAGAATTTTTGCTTAAATATTATTTGAATTTTCCCACTCAAAAGTGAAGAGATGCAAATATCAAATTTAAATCATTTAATCACGTAATTCGTTTCATGGGAACTGGTCAGCAGATATATTTCATTTTTCTTTAATGAAATTACAATTATATTCATTTATCCTGTAAAAATTTTGAGGTACATGTGCACCTGGAAGAACGAATTTCTAATTTATTTTTTTCTTCACTTAATATTTTGGACGAATTTAGTAACATTTCATATAAATTTGACTATTTAAAAGTAATGTGATGCCTGTGCTTGAAATAAAACATTTTATCTTCCGCGCGCCGACGTTTTGCAATTACGTAAAGTTCAACTTCCGAATCTGATCAACAAACTCCGCTATTT